GCACCAGGCACAAGTTCTTATTAAATGAATGAATGAATGAATGAGTGAATGAATGAGCAAATAAGCCAATAAATGAATGCCTTCCTCCCCACATCAAGCAGTCAGCCCCTATCTCCCCAGTCTAGTCCTTTCCCCTTACATGACACCCTACTGTATCATTCCAGCTAAATTTCTCCTCCCCCTCCGCCAGCACACCCCCAGGCCACCTCCCCACTGCCATCTGGTGTGTGATCAGGAATGCAAACTTACTATTGACCTAAGTCAAACAAAAGTAAATCTACTACAGGAAAAAAAAAAAAAACACACACACAATCAGAAACCTACCTTCTGTGTAAGGCATTCCAATGCCAAATAAAAGGCCTTGGAATTACTCATGGGCACAACCCTTCTAAAAGAGTCCTATATCACCTACTCATTCGGATAGCAAAAGAAAACAGTCTAGACAGGGAGCCAGGAGGCTTGGGCTCAAAGACCCATAAGTACACTCCATTTCTCTCTCTGGGCCTCAGTTTCCCCTTCTGGAAAACATGCGGCGCAACCCACATCGTCTCGAAGGTCCTCTGCTTTGCTGCTTGCTGAAGATCTAAGATCTCAAACAGTCCTGAAGTCTCAACAGAAGCTGAGAACCTTTCCAACTCATCCTGCACTTCCTCAGTACTCCTTCCCTACCGACTCAACAGAACCATCACTGAGCCACCCCTACAAGAGAACGGGGTGCCGCCCCCGCCATTCCTGCCCTCCTGCCAGCCACCCCACCCCACCCTGCACCCATCCATACCTGGCTCGGAGCCAGCAGGCACCAGCTCCTCCTCCATCTCCCGGGGCAGTGGGGAAGCCATATCTGTGCTTTCCCTGAGAGTAGATACTTTCATCACATGCGGCAGAGCCTGCCTGAGAAGTGGGAAGCAGAGGGGCGTGAGCCAGGTGTCTGAAGACCCAGGGGGGAGAGAGAGAGAGAGAAGAGAAAGAAAAAGAGTTGGGCATTGGCAATAAGTTTAGCTGAGGAAGTCTCCTCTTTCCAGCAGGGGCCAAGTAGTGTGGGACAGGAAGAGGGAAGGGGGGGGGGGGGGCAAGTACAGGAGGTCATGGGAGGTTCCCAGCAGCCAGATTCTAAACTTCCCAGATCCTATCCAACTGGTCTCCTAACCCCAAAGTCCAGGAGCTTCAGGGAGCCACCCACTGCTCCCTCCTCTGACAAGCTCTCCCAGACACCCCACTTACAGTCCCAAGGCACCCTTTGGGTCAGGGGACCCTGCTGGAGCTATCTACCGGAGGCAGACCAAGAGGGCCGCAAAATCGCAAACTCTGAAGTCTCTCCGTGAATCACCTCATGGGAGACGGGAAAAACCCGCTCCTCCCCAACCTGGGGCTCCGCCCCACCGCCTGCCTCCCCCTTCCCCGCTCACCCTACCCTCCCTCCCTCTCCCCTGCAGCTGGGAGTGGTTCCCTCTCCCTGTCTCTCCCGGGTTCTCCTTCCACATCCCTGCCCTACTCCCCCCTCCCTCAGAGCTGTCTCATCCAAACACGGAAAAATAAGGAATAAAAAGTAAACATCTGGAATACATTTTTTTCTTTAATTTCTCAATCGCTTTGGCTTCAGCTTGGAATTTGATGAGGTAAAGCCAGGGCCTAGTCCTGTTGCCATAGCAATGGCCTCCCACTGGATTTCCAGAGCCTCGCCAAGAGGAAGGAGGAGCGGGCCTGGGCCCGGAGAATGGGACAGGGCTTGAGAACATCCGGGGGGGTGGAGTGACTTGGGGAAAAACTCCCTGGGGTTCCCCCTTCCAGGACAGTCAGGGTGGGAGAGCCAAAGCCTATGAAACAGGAATATGCAGACATCACTCACCAGCCCAGGGTTGACCTGAAGGAGTTTTGAGGGAGACAGAAGAAATAATTAAGTGACACAGCCCAGCCCTATGTTAGAAGCCAAATGGATACCCTGCCTTGAAGCAAGTAACAGGAACTTCAGAGACTGACATAGCAAGATTCAATGCTGGGTGTGTCTACCACTTTCTAACCATGTGATTTCTCTAAGCCTCAGTTTCCCTATCTGAAAAAAGGGGTTATCAAGACTCTTAGGAGTCTTAAGTGAGATAATGCATGCAAACTGATTAGCACAACACCTTAGCAAACAGTAAGTGTCCAGTAAATGCTGGCCATTATTGCTATGATTCCATTCAGTGTCAGCAATGAGCTAACATCCCTGGTAACCATCTCCTCCTCTCCACTGACCCCAGGCTGCCAGCATTCCCAAACCATTCCTTCACTCCCAGGCCTTAGTCCTGTCACCTGTTCTTCAGGTACTCCACCACCTCCTCAGTTCCCACCCTGGCTCCGGAAGTACCCTCCCACCCTCAAGAACCTCCAGGCTCTCCAGCCAGGGGGATAGAGCCCTGCCTCTTTCATTCAAAAGCAAGAAGGATGCTTCCCATCACCTGGTATGCACATAGCCCAGTGGACAACCCAACCCTCTCCATCCTGCAAAGGGTACTGCCTCCCTTAAAGTCACCCACTCCAGCTGGTCTGGGTGCCCAACCTCTGCAAAACCCAGTCCCTCTCCCCCATCTCTGACCCTGCCCCAGCTTGTTTCAAAGACGGGAGAGGGTATGAAGACAGTAAAGAAACCCAGTGCTGTCAACCCATTGGTCAGTCAACTACCAGGGAGGACTGCCCACTGGGTGGGTGAATAACTGTGCAGAGCCAGCCCAAGCATGTGTGGGGGAGGGGCATATAATAGAAAAAATAAATTTAAAAACACAAGATTGTTTCCTCGTCCTTGAACATTATTACAAGGGACATGGTGTGGGTGGTTAGAGATGGAGATGAATTGTCCCAAAACCGAAAGACCCTTTCACATGGGGGTCCAATAGGCCCCTGTGCCGTATGAGGGGCTGCAGCAATGAAGGCAGGATGAGAGGCCCCAGCCAAGAGCACCAGGTGACCAAGGCCGTGGCCAGAAGCTGCAAAATCACAGCAGCTCTGAGCACTCCCTATGCCCAGGCTGGGGAGCCTGGGGAGTGGCGGGGAGATGAGCTGACCCCAGGGAGTGAAGGCCGCCAGAAGAGCTGGCTGGGCAGCTCCAGCCCCGGACAGGCGGGGTCGCCACCATGGACCACAGAATCTCCGGGCCCGATCTGAGGCCGGAGAGGTCGGCAGGGACAGCGGGTAAACTGCTGGCAGAGGGAGGGCCAACGGGAAGACGGAACAGCCTGGGGCGAGGGGCCGTCAGGAGGGGCACAGTGGGGACCAGTGGACACAGAGGGGGCCGCGGCAGCCGAAGAGGAGGAGGAGAGAAGCGGGTGGAGGAGGAGGGGGTGGCGGTGGCGGCAGAAGCGGACCGGCGCGCGGGACGTGAAGCAGCAGGCGAACAGACGGCGGACCAGGGACGCGGACCGGGTGGGGGAGGACTGGGGAGGCTGGGGGCGTGCCGAAGCGCCGGAGGAGGGGGAAGCGCGGCCCGGGGGAAGCGGGAGGCGAGGGTCCCTCCAGCAGCTCTGCCCGCCCCCTGCCCCGCCCCAAGCCCTCGCCCCCTTCCCCCTTTCTTCTGCTCCGCCGGCAGGAGCCCCAGACCGTGCGCCCTCCGTCCCCGCGCACGCACGCCAGCTCCTCCGCGCCCCCAGCGTCCCTAGAGCCCCCGGCCCCTGCAAACTTTCCTGGCGACCCCCCCCCCACAACCGGAGGTCCCGATTAGAAAGGCCCACTCCTTCTACGCCCCTCCCCCGCCCCGTCTCGGACCCCGCCCCCTCGGCCCGCCCGCCCCCGCGCACTCACGCGCTCCCCCGGGATTAGGCTCTGCTCGCCTCGGCGCCCCAACGCCAGTCCTCGCCGCCGCCGCCGTCACCGTCACCGCGGAACCAAGCCTGTGCGAGCCCGGCGGGGCCCCGCCCCTAGCCCCGCCCAGGGGCACGCCCCACGGCGCCTCATGAATATTCACGAGCCGGCGGAAACCGGGAGTTGAAGTCCGAGCGGGATCCGTCCCACCGCAGGCAAATAGGCGCGGCCCAGTGCTCAATTATTCATGAGCCTTGCAAATGAGGGGCCAGCCCCAGGCTGGGTCTCGAGCGAAACTGACGCAATCCGGCTACAAGCGCTCGGGAAAAGGAGCACCGAGACGACTGCCTAGACTGCCCAGCCGCAGGCCCTGCCGCGTGCGCTGATTGCAGCATCATAGAGCCACGCCTAGCAAGAAGGTAGCCGTTGGCGGACCGGAGAGGCTTCCTGTTACAACCACCTGAGTCCTCCAGAGGACTTCCACAACGTGGCCTCCCCACGTGTACAAATTCAGACTTACAGCCACCATGAAGAATTCTGGCAGCTCTAGTTTCCTCGTTGGTGCTCTTTTATGTCCTTTTAGGCCCCTTTCTCAAATATAACTTCTTTCCAGCCCTAAAACTTGGTATTCCCTTTTCCGTAAGAACAAAAGCTTCATACATACTCCATACCCTTCCATCACACTGCACCCCACCACCACCTCTTCCCCGCCCTCCCCCCCCCCCCCCCCCCACCAGACCCACGGGGCACAGGGCTCAGAGACACCTCAGACTCTTGCTACCCAAAGGGCATCAGTTGCTCCTCCAACCCCCCCCCTCCCCCCCCCCCACACACGTAGTCCTCTCCAACTCCCCAGCTCAGGTTTCCATTCCCCCAGTTGCAGGAAGGATAGTCAATCCTAATTATATTATCTAAAGCCTTGGAAGACCCTGGACTCACAGGTGATTAAGGATGGAGCCAAGAGCTTCCTCTCCCTAGCTGGGCTAATGGAGTGGAACTGTGAGAGCAACTTCCTAATCAGATCAGCTTTCATTTCTAAGCTCTCAGGTTGCTCATCCCGGCAGTAGAGGGTGAAAACCAATGCTTGTCCAGCCGGGAACAGAACAGGATGTACCTAGAGATTTGCTTTCCTGCTAGCCAAGAGGGCCCTGCCCAGTCAGGACACATGGTAACCACCACCAAGAGAAGAGGGAGCAATACAACAGGGCCAGAAAGAAGGCATAAGGACATAGTTTCCAAAGTCAGTTCCCTTTATTAAATGATTTTCACAGACCAGAAATACAAAATAAAAGTAGAAATAGGCCCCAGTTAGGAGCTACAGGCCTGACCTCACATGACCCCTGCTGCAGCAACTTGAACAAGACAAGCAGCAGCTATATCCCTAAGGTCGGGAAAGTAGGATGAGGATTTGGATCCTGCATTGCCCTGCCTCCCACCCAGTCTCTCTCCAAATTATAAAGAGCCATCCTCATGAAGCAGCAGAGTGCAGAGGCCTCCCCTGCTGCCCCTGTGAAGTGCATACCAGCAGGAGAGCTTGTTCAGATGGCACAGAATCCAAGGGCTACAATTCTTGAGGAGAAACTGGTACCAAAACATGGGTGGGGAGCCTGGGGGTGTGACAAGGCAAGCGCAAGGAGGGAGAATCCTCCTCCTCTCTACTCATCAGATCCAGATGCTGAGTCTTCTGAGCTGGGGGGAGTACTGGCTAGTTCCTCTTCTTCGGAGTCCTGAAAACCAAAGGTCTCTTAAGGGGAAAGGTGTGGAGTCCTGGCTGGTCTCCTGGCCATTCTCCAGTGGCAAAGGATCCCCAACTCCCTACTCCCTCCCTACAACTGCAGCACTCACCTTTGGAACCTCAGAATCCCACCCATCTACTCCAACTCATGTTTACAGACCACCCCACACACACTCTCATGCCCTCACCTGCCCAGTCCCACATCCCCCACCCACGTGCCTGCCGCACCTCACTCCGCCTCCTCTTCTTTTTGCTCTTGTTCTCTCCTGAAGAGCTCTCATCACTAGACACAAATTCTTTGCTCTTGAAGCTCTCACTTAGCTGCCTTGAGGATGACTTGGATGATGAGGAGCCTCTAGAGGGCGTTGATTTCTTCTCCATCTTTACCTTAACTTTCTTCTTCTTTTTTGACTTGTCCCTGTATTAGCAAAAGGGAAAAGGAGTGGGCCAAACCTCTCCCAGCGCTAACAAGGCCTTTCCCAATCCCAGCCACACTGCTCATTTCACTCTGAATGTAAACAGCCATGTCAGCCGGAAGTGAGCACACCAAAAGAATCCGAGATCATAGCCTGAAGCAGCCCCATACACAAAACTTATTTGACATTTCTTGGTTGATCTTTAAAAATTCACGTGAATTGTGCATTGTGCCCCATAGTAATTTAATTCCCCCATACCTTCAAATAAAATGGACCCTCCAGGAAAATGGGCTATATTTATCTAGTGACATGAATTCCCTACCACATCACCCATGCTTGGGCAATGGCTCCCAGATTTGAGAAGCACTGCCCTACTGCGGTCAAAAGTGTATCTACTATCTTTAACGTTCCAATGCTCACCTCTGACCTCAAAAAATAATCTGCCAAAAAGGCAGTTACTGGGCCATGTTGTTCGCAACACTCACCTCTTGGAAGACTCGCCTCGGCCCCCTTCATATTCTTTCATGGCTTTTTCATATTCCCTCCTGGCATCCTCAGCCTTGCGATCCCACTCCTGTACCACACACACATAACACACACACAACCAGCAGAGAATGAGATCTCTTCCCTGATGCAGGCAAAATCCGTACAGAAAAGTTCCACCAATAGCTCACCCTGCCCCTTCTGTCAGTTACACCACCACCCCAAGAAAGCCCCTCTTACCAGCCTATGAGATTCACTACCCCTCTTCTCTGTTGCTACTCACCTCTTTTTTCTCTTTGGACATTCCCTTCCAGATCTCGCCTGCCTTCTTGGAAAGATCTGTGATACTGATGCCAGGATGGTCTGACTTGATCTTCTCTCTACTGGCATTGAGCCACAGCATGTAGGCAGACATGGGCCTCTTGGGGGCATTGGGGTCTTTGCCCTTCTTCACCTACATAAGAGAGAACTCAAATGCCTTCAGCTATCTATTTCCCTTAGACCACCCCACCACCACCACATTCTCCCAAAGAAATTATTTGGATCACCAAACTTGGGGAAAAAAACAGAGGACTACATACATAGCATCAGGCTAGACTGAGAGCTCCCTAAGGGTAGGGATCATGTCTTCCCCTCTGTCCCCCAGTGCCTAGCTTACCAGGGACCCCGTTTCCTCTGGGCTTCTGAGACAGAAGAATCCTGTCTGCTAATTCAGATCTTCTAGAAGCTAATTACCTCAGGACCAGAGAGAAAACTTTCCAAGATGATACCCCTCAAGGTAATAATTACTGGCTACAAAAGCAGTCCCAGGAGGACGAATCAACAGGTCCTACTGGTGGTAGACAGGAGAAGGTAAAGAGAACGGATTCCAGACACACATACACCCCTGCCATCTAGAGGAGAGTCTGCACCTCCATAGGCTTCTTGCGGCTCTTGCGATCCTTGGACATCTTGGCCTTTTTGAGCTGTTTCCGCTTCTTCTCATCCCGGTCACTGTCACCCTCATTACTGGAGGAGCTGGCTGAGGCATTGCTATCAAACCTGCCAGAGCATAGGATTTACAGTCAGGGAAGGAGAACAGGACCCCACAGCCTCAGGACAGGAGGACATGAATCCAAAGATACTTACCCAGAAAAGGCCGGGGAGGAAAACCAGAGGACGGCCTCCCTGCAACCATCCCCACCCCAGCTTCCTCCATTTGCTGAGGTGGCTTCTTCCATCCCCTCTCCAGACCCAGACCCAGCAACAGGTTAGTTATTGAATCAATCAACAAAAAACAAATGAACCAACAGGTTTTAGCTGCTCTCCTTGGTCTTGGCCTAACGAGGGTCCTAGTTCATGCCCAGGACATGGCCCAGGTCCACTTCACCACTTCCCTTTGATCAATCATCTTAATCTACCCTACAGTCCTTTCTGATTAACAGATAATTGGTTACTACCAAAAATGAGGAAAACCAAATTTAGTCCAACCCAGTACACACCCGTATTATGGACAGTCCTAACCAGTACACATGAAAACTACCTTATTCCTACACGCTACTGAAGTGTTCAAGGCACTTTCACAAGCATGTGGCAAGCTGAACTAGAGTGTTGGGTATTTTTTCTAGAGTTTTCTGCTGCCAAACATTCATTCCCAATCCTTCTGGATTAAGAGAGGGAGTCCAATTTTCTGTTAGGAACTACCTTGCCCCTACTGAGGAGGGGCTCATCCCAACCACAGGCTCTAAGGGTGGGCACTCACTTGTTCTGGCCCACTGGAGCTGTGCACATCCTCCTAACTCAGGCTAGGAGGGGGCAGGTGACCTGCTGTTCACTATGCTGTTCACCAAAAGAAGAGATACTTCTGGGTGTTAAACCAATAGCCTGCCCAGAGCTTCTGAAAGTCACTGGGCACCCCATGGGGCAAACTTATCTAAAACTAAGAAAATCAGAAGAAATAGATTTGAGTGCCTAGATCCAGTAGTGCCAGAAGCCAGTTAACTCCCTGGACTCTACTGTTACATGGAACTCACAAAATTCATTTTTATACATTCCTTTGTATGGTCAGTTTGAGTCACACTTCTGCCACTGGCATTCAAGCGCCTTTAACCAATCCCACACAGGTACTACTGCCATTCACAGATAAGGAAACAGATTCAATGACTTGTCCAGCAACTCCCAGTGAGCAGGTGGGTAAGCACGGGCTCTCATTCCAAAACATGTCTTGTACTTATAAAGCCTTTGCCAATTTCTGAAATGTTTTCGTGTATAGCTTCATTGGAGGTCACTTTCCCACCCTGGGTGAACGGCTAATGCTGGGATACACAGTATGTTCAAAATCTCCTGGTCTCTTAAGCTTGCAGGTCACCATCTCACCCCCACAAGGTACAACCAAAACTCACTCCTCTGCCACATCTTCCTCCTCTTCACCTGGGTTGAATGATTCATCTGAAAAAGGAAACAGGATGCATCAGCTTCCCCGCAATGGAAATCCCACACCCTTACCCAGACACCCAGCTGTAGCACAAGGGCAAGCCCCACCCAGGCCAGGAGGAGGAGAGTCTGACTGTCCCCACGGCCCAGCACTGAGGCTAGCCCACCAGTTTCTTCTCCCGAGTCATCGCTGCTGTCGTTGGCATTCTCCTCCCGGATCTTGCCCTCCTCCTTCATCCTCTCCAAGTAGGCATCGTGCTGGTCTTCATCAGAGTCGGCATACTCGTCATAGCTGGGGTTCATGCCCTAGCCAGGGAAGAGATGGGAGTGAGGACCAACTCGCCCTCAAGCCATAAGCCCTGCACACTCAAAAGCACTCCCCCATGCCTGTAAAGCCAGAGCAGCAGCTCCCAGAAGACCCTGGGGCTGGAATGTCCACACACAGCCAACGTGCAGGGCCTGTGCCCAAGTAATCCTGCCAACTGGGTTAGTCCAAGCCCCTCCCTCCCTTGGCCCCACTCAGGGCTCTTGAGGGGCTGCAGAGACTGATCTAAAGTCATGCAGAGGAAACCTGCACCAGGAAGGGAAAGGGTCACACGCACCTCTTTTTTCTATAAGGGTAAGAAAAGAAGAGAGAATGAAAAAGAAGCCGGAAAAATCTCTGCCCCTTTCTCCCCTACAGAAAGAACAGGAGAGAGGCTCTTCCTTCCCACATGGAGGTACCTCTTTCAATCCTCGGTTTTTAATGTTGAGCTTTTTTGCGTTGACAAAATCAAACAGCTTCCCATACTCCTCCCTGTAAGGGGAGATGCACTGTGTCAGCAGACAGATAGGGCCAACACGGGTGGAGTAAAGTGTTCTGACACCCATGGGCCAGGGTAGACCATGGGACCTGAAGCTCTTGACCATACTATCCAACCCAACAGCTCAGAGACTCCCAGTGAAGCAAATGAAAAATTCTGCTCAGGGCTTAGAGAGGGGCCCAGGCCATGCCAGGCTCCCATTCAAGGGTGGGGCAGGACCAGAATGCCCAGGAGTGACTGGTGGAGCTCTCACCTCTCAATGCTGCTGAAGGTATACTGAGTGCCCTGTTTGGTCTCAATTTCAAAGTCAAAGGAGCGAGTGGTGGTGGTGCCACGGGCAAAGTTGACAAAGGAGATCTCATCGAAGCGGATGTGCACAGGTGGCTTGTGGACATAGATGAAGCCCCGCTCCAGCGGGTATAGCAGTCCTGAGCTGGCCTTGTAGGAACAGGTGATGCACTGGGCCCCTGAGTGCCTATTGAGCGTACAGGGAACCCAGTCAGTGCCAACCTCAGCAGAGCCAAAGGGCATACCTAGCAGCACTGACACGTGTGTCCTCAGGCCTTCAACTGAGTAAATCTCACTAAGCTGCTCTGACAAAGGCACTGACACCCATCAAGACACAAGGCCCCTTCCAGGCCTCTAATAGGCTGCATTCCCAAATCAAAAGTTGTTTACCAAAAAGTCAAGGCATTTCCCATCGCCCTGCAGGCTAGGGCCGGGGGCCTGCACTCTCACCCTTGGAAGTTGCCTGGGACTGTGATCTTGCGGTTCACCAGTGCTTTCATGACCCGGCTGACCATCTCGTAGAGGGATCCTGACATGTTCTTGGTGAGCCGCCCCTCAAAGCGCTTCTCCACCTCTTCCCTAAAAACAGAGCAAGATGAGGTCACAAGCACTACTGCCTTCTAACAGCATGCCTGTCTCCTGCCTAAACAGTGGCAGGAAACGATTCCAGGGAGACACTCACTCGTTCATGTTCAGAGTCAAGGAGATGTCCTCATCCTTGGAGAAGAGGAGGATCAGGAAGTGGTAACGGGTTTGGCCCTGCTTGATGGGGGGATCCAAGCTGATCTGGTAAAGAAAAGAAGACAACATGCTCCACAAGAGCTTGCAATTAACCAACAGAGAACCCTGAACCCAATGAGATCTGTCTGCTAAAAACTGAGGTAAAAACCAGAATTATCCACCCCATGGGATTGCTGCTTACCACAAAGAACATCTGGCGCTGGTCCTTGTGAGGCAGCAAAAAGAGACGCAGTACCGTGGTATAGGGGATCTTGTAATCAAAAGTCTTGCCGTGCAGGTGCAGAAAGGTGGGGTAGATCCGAATGTCATAACGACCACGGGGAGTCAGACACTGTAGCTCCCGGAAGATGCAGATGGCATCTCCAGTGGCTTGGATTACATCCGCCTTTGACAACACGTTCTGGGCAAAGGCCTGCAAAAGCACACCGGTGACGTGGCAGTAGACCCCTGCTCCCAGGCCAGCCAAGGCCTGCTAAGTTCCATCTGTACTCAAGGCAACCAGGGGAAGCCTCACCTCAACAGGATCCACACCATCTTCTTGTGTGGGAGGGACGTAGAAGCGCACCTCCATGAGAGACACCTCTGCATCATCATTCTGGTGGAATTCCAGTGTGACCTCATTCTTGCCTGTGGTGCACTGGGACACGTTGCTGAGGGGTATCTCAAAGACCGGCTGGTCACCAATGTCAAAGGAAAGCAGCTGCCCTGTGGGAAAGAACTTATCAAGCCACAAGCTCCTCCCTTCATGTCTGTATAAACAACATTCCCACCAAACTGTAAGTTCCATGAGGACAATATACTAGGGTTATTTTGTTCACACTGTACCCTAAGACCAGGCACAACTATAGGTGCTTGATAAATACACAATGAACATGCAAACTGATAGGAAATCAGAGACGCAGGCAGAAGAAAGATAGCAAAACAAGTTAAAGGCTGAAACCCTTCATCCTACCTTCTCCCCCAAGCCTCAAGCTTCCCTGGGACTCACCACCAAACTTTACTGTCCCCCAGTTCCAGCCCTTCACACACAGATCCTTCTCCATTAGTTCAAGGCGATAATGAGTTTTGAAGAAATCAGAGAGTTTCTCAAACTCCTGTGGGTGGAAGGGAAAAAGCACAATCCCAATAAACCCTGGTGGCCTTAACACAGACTTGAATGTCCTGGGATTATCTATTTCTGAGACACTGTCCCAAATACCCTTTATCAGAAATCCACACTGACTTAGCATCTCAGACTCTAAAATTGCTTAAAAGGTTGTTGAAAGAGGTTGTTTCTGGGAACTGGATCTCAGGTTAGGGGAGTAATGTAAGAAACTGGCATTCCTGGTTATGGGCCTCACAGTGCTATCTGAGTTTTTAAACTGCGTCTAGGTATTGCTTTAACAAAAGTGGGAATTAAAACCAAGTCTTTAACTTAAGCAGTTAAAATTGAGAAAGAAACCCAAACTGAAGCATCAAGATTCTGAACCTGGATAAAAGTGGAAACTACCATCTAAACCAAGACAGGAGAAAATCTTCTGGAGTCAAGGCACAAGGAAACTCACAAGATTTCAATACTCAAAGCTGAACACTGTTTGCTTAATGGCCTCAGTGGCTCTGCTCTAAGGAGCTCAAACTAGCAACTACGTGGTTATCAGAGGAAGGAACCCCAAGTCTCAAGAAGATTAAAACAAGATGGCACAATAATAAGGAGGCTTATACCAATAGGACATCTCACCGATTCTCGAAAGCCATCATACTTGTAGACATGGCCATTCTTTGTGAGTAGTTTAAGTCCATGACCCAGAGCTACACGGCGCCAGATGCCTTCTGTTAACTCCCCAGCCTGGATGTTGTCCACTTTACCCGTCTTGCTATTCTTAAAGATGATGCCCTGGCGGCTCAACCTCAGCCGACCATCATTCTGTGGGAAAAGCAGGCCCAGATGCATGGGGACGGTACATAGCATGTAGTGGGTACAATTCTCTACCCAACACCCATTTCAGCTGCTAGGGGGCTGGCCAAATTAGCAATGCAGCAGCAACAGCTAAAGTGGTGAGGGCCAGTAATAATCGTCAAGTGGCCAGGAAGTCTGGAGTCTAAACCTGGCCCTGGCACCCAGAACACTCGCAGGTCCTCAGTTTCCTCATTTGTAACATAGAGATTTGGGATTGAACAGTATATACAGTCTCCATGACTCTCGAGACACTCAGCACTGCCTTGTGTTGGGGGGAAACACCAAGTACACGCTGTACAGAATTTTCCTCTTCCAAAGTAATAGCATTATCAAAGGAAGCTCTTGTTAATGGACAAAAACTCTACCCTCCTTCCCTCTCTCCACCTGTATTAAATGTCCAACCCATTCTCACCATGGAGCCTTTCACCTCCTGATAGACGTCGTTGAACTCCAGTGTCTCTGCCATGTTGCTCTGCCCGTGGTGGCCCGGGCAGAGCCCTAGGCTGCACAAGGGGAGCCGAATAACCTGCAAAGTGGGCCCAGGTGGTACTCAGCGGGTTGGGAGCCTGAATTCAAGAGGGAGACAGACAAGCAACAAATACAACACTTCACGGAGCTCACAGATGGAGCCAGGTGGCTTGTTCAGGCTGCACCTGGGATGTTTCGGCATCTCCTGTGCCTGGAAACCCACAGGCGGGCTTTTCAGTGCTCGTGGGGCCAGGCCCAGGCCTGGCTGGAGAACTGGGCCTGGAGTAGCGTTTACTTCCCAGCCCCACATCCGCTCTGGGCGCTCCACTGGGAGCCATGGCAACGAGCAGCGGAACCCCAGGGCCTGCCCGGAGCCTGCACCTTGCCCGCGCCCCAACTCAGCTCAGAGTGCAGGGTTTCCCCTCGCACCGTTCCCACCACGCCGCGGCCCCAGACCACGGATCACCCCTCTCCCTAAAATGGATTCGCCCGCCGCCCGCGGATTCGAACATGGAACGGTCCATTTCGAGCGTCCCGCGGGGGAGCGGGGCCTTCCTCCTGGGGCCGGGGCACGGCGACCACCTACCTCCTCAAGCTGCAGCCTCGCGACCGCCCGGGCGCGGGAGGTGGGCGCGATGGGGGGGAGGGGGACACGGAGGGGGGCGGGGACGCGGGGGATTGGGGGGGAACGCTGGGGAAGCTTTTCCCGCGTGCGCGGCCCCGCGGCCCGCCACCGGAAGTCGCGCAAGGACCATAGAGAGGATGAGCTGGCTAGAGAAGCGCAAGCCGGCCCGCCTACGAGACGGTCACATAGAGCGTCGACGACTCTGGAGGACCTGAGGAAAGGGTGGTTACGGTGAAGTCCCACCCAGGTGGAACCTGGTGAATAAATGGGACCGTGTAAGGCTGTTTGAAAAGTTGCAGACATTTCCTCAGTGGAGACCAGATTCTAAAGGGAAACAGTGTAGTTTTATCTTTTATTTCATCAGACTTTCTCCGGGGGAGGAGGGGTGGTATTGGAATGATGCAGGTCACTCTCTTCTGCCAAATAGTTTCTGTGGCGTGGAAAAGAGTCTGTGGGACCAGAAGAAAATGTAAAGAGTCGTGGAGAGCAACGCAGGCGTTGGCGTCATTGTGACTGCACTGCTCTCTGGTTGTACTGTTGAGTGGGATTGGGTCGTTTTTGAAATGAGTCTACACCCAAAATCTTCACATCCGTAACCGCAAAGTATGGATCCCCCGCAGGAGGCTGGCAAATGTCAGTATCAAGTTCAAGTGCTGGTGTCAGATTCTCCCTGGAGCCAGAACTGATTTGAAACCACATGGTCCTGGAGTTGTGGAAGCCAGGCCTCCCTGGTATAGTCCTGGGGTGCATCTTACAAAATCAGAGAGAGCCAGACCTGGAAGAGATGTTTGATTTGTTCTACTCCAACCTCCTTTTGCAGGTGGGGAAACTGAGGCCCAAAGAGGTGTTGCCCTTTGTTGGGTGAGGCCCAACAAAGGTAGAGACTAGAACCCAGATTTTCTTAACACCAATCCAGTTCTCTTCTGTCAGAACCACAGTGACTATGTTCAGAATAACTGATAATGTATTTCCTGTACAAAGACATTAGGACAGAATATTTAAACTCAAGATTTTTCTGACAATCATTACAGCAGTCTGCTAATTCAATCCTGGGATAAAAGATAACAGGAATACAACCCTTGCCTCCCCTGAATTTATAGCTTTAACCACTGGGTATGGCTATTCCAGCACTCTCTGGCAATATATATTCATTTAAGGAAACTAGCGAACAAGTTTCAGGAAAACATAATCTAATGAATGATTCAGATAACTAAGCTGACGGTAAAAAATGTGACAACTGCTATGCTACAAGTAGACCATTCAGCCATTGCCAACTGGAGTTAGAAATATGTGACTCTTTACTCATCCCATCCCAGGAGTCCCAGAAAAATGTTCAAGAGACCCACTCCCCTTAACCCGTGCCACCGGAGGCAACTCAGGGGAAGGGAGGGGATGGCTGCAGAATTGGGTGGGATTCAGCAGACCCTCAGGGATGACGGGGGTCCTCAGCTCAGGCAGGCTATTAACTGGGGGGTGGGTCATTGCAAGGGGCTTTGGGGAGAGCGGGAGCAGCTGGTGAGCTGGAGTGAGGATGCAGCAGAAGAGAACGGAACAGAAATAGTAGACAGAGTGCAGATAAAACGCAAGTCCCAGAGGGCCCCCGCCAGCTACATCCCAAGCAATCAGGAGCCCAGAACCAGAGACCCCACCCCTGCTGTGACATCACAGGGGAGTGGAGTGGAGATGAACATAAAGGGGGTCCCCCGCCCTGGCCCTGGCATCTTGGCAGCCAGAGTGACAAGAGCAGAGAGAGCCTGGACACTGACTAGGGTTGCCTGGCTGAAAGGAACAGGCTCCCCATTCCTCGAGCCCTTGTAAGCAGACGCTTCCAGGCTGTGATCCCTGTCTCCCTGTCCCAAGGACCTCGCTCTCCTGAGGCTGCCATCCGGCCCATCCGAGTGGCCACTGAGCACTCTCTCAGCATGAACTGCATATCAGACTTCTTTACCTATGAGACCACCAAGTCGGTGGTTGTGAAGAGCTGGACCATCGGGATCATCAACCGAGTCGTTCAGCTTCTGATCATCTCCTATTTTGTGGGGTGAGTCTGTGGCCCTTCAGGTCCTAGGAGGGGAGGGCTGCCTGGCATCCTGTCCTGCCCCTCCTGCCTCAGTGCCACCACCCAGCTTCCTGAGATTCTCCTCTCTTGGAGGAAAGGCTTTCTTCTGCGGAGCTATGTCCTAAGGACTGGCCTCGGCCACCCCCACCCAAGATCTGGTCCACACATGAATTCTTTTTCTTGGTAAATCCCTCAGAGTTGAAGAGTGGTTTTGAGACACACACTCTAAGGAGTAAGATCTCTGCCCTGGCACTGCCCTCCACCAGGGAGGTCCCATGTTCTCCATCTCCACTCTCCCTCCTCTCCTCCGTCCAACCAGAGAACAGGCAGCCCACCCCACCCCCATCTTCCCATTCCCCTCAGTGGACTTTTGGGGGTCTCAGAAGGACAAGGGAGCACAGGAAGAAGGAAGGGAAGGCATGGGACAAGGGAGATGATGACAGGTTGAACAAGTTGAAAACGATGGGGAGGGAAGGAGAGAGCTGGATCTGCTTTAGAAGGAGGAATTCCCTCCTGACATGGATGGGCGAGATGATGAGGGAGCCTGGCAAGGGAAGAAGCCCTGGCTCCTGGAGGGTCAGACAAAGGGGGAACTGCCCCTTGAGGTGGGGAGAAACCCAAGCACAAGTAATGCTAAAGGGAAGAGTCACTGAGAAGAACAGTAGCTTTTCTGAACATAGTGCAGATTTCCCAAGAATCCAGAAATGCTCCTTTGTCAAAAAACATAAGGTCCCTACCTCTCCCTGACTTTGGGCCATGTAACCCATCCTGCGAGCTGCATCGGAGGCAGGAATATCCAACTGCTCACTCTCAGCCTGCATGTCCTTGCGGCACACACACCTACACACACACACAAAGGGCCACGCAGCAGACAATGGCTGGCAGAAGAAATGCAGGTTCTGTCTTTCTTGTGGTCATTTCCACATGTTGGTGGGCACCAGGAAACACAGGCAGAAACCGCAAAGGTTTTCTTTCCTGATGTGCAGGTCTCTGGTGTCATGCTGTTCCTGAAACAATGGATCCGTTTGTGAGGCAGCAAGCCACTGCCTAACTGTGTGAGTTAATTCAAGCAGGTCAAAGGGGACATCCCACGGGCATGTGCACCGGCCTGCTCGCCTGGAAGGTTGGAGTAGTGTATGAGGACGTGCGTGGAAGGGTGGCTAGATGCGACTTTGTAAGCAATGTATTTTGCTCTGCGTGCTTAGCGAGAGCCAGTAGGCTTCCGTACATGGGTATTGTAACAAGGCTGTACATCCAGTGCTCCTTTCTAGGCTATTAGAAACGGATTCAAACTTTGGAGTAGGATTAAATGGCCTTGAAGTTCCAGCATTGAGGCTTTGTAGGACATGAGGTCTGCTAAGGTTTCATGTCTGTATCTTCAGGGCTTGCTTGGCTCAAAGTTAGTTCATAAATGTGTTTGCTCGTCTGTTCAATGCTGTGATTGTTTATGGCTGCAAGATGGTATGTTGGTCCAGGTGAGTGCAAAAGCTGGCCCACCACATTCCCAGACTGGCCCAGCTCCATTGGCTCCAGGCGGGAGATTGATGGGGACTAGAGACAGCTGGCTCCTGGGCCAGACCACTCAGCCCTTGTCTCTTCTCCCCATCATGATCAGATCCAATCTTCCAGTCCTCAGGGCTGGAGCTCAGCCTGCCAGAGCAAGCATGTGAGGCTCTGTGGCGTCTCGATATCCAGCCTCATCCACCTTCCAGCCTGACAGCTCCCCATGGACAGCGTCTTCCTGCTGCATTAGTGCACTCTGTGGCCCAGCCCCGGCCTGAGCCCCATCCATGTGCATGGAAACCCAGGCGCTGTTGTGACTTCATGAATCCACTGTCAGTAATTTAGCAAAAACGTACGGAGTGTCTCTGCATGCCAGGCATCGTGCACTGAGGACAGAATGGTGGGCAAAAGCGGATGGCAGGGTCCTTGCCCTCATGGGGTTTCCAGTGTTAGGCGAGAGATGGACATGAATCCACTAATCTCCACAAAACAAATGTAGAATGTCACCGGACTCAGAGGTGCCCGGTTCCAGGAGAGAAACTTCTGTGGAGCTGTTTGGCCAGCTCAGGGAATGAGGTTTTCTGTAGCCAAGACCTAAAGGACAAGGAGGAGCAACCCAGGTGAAAGAAGGAAAGGAAGAGGGTCCAAGGTAGAGAAGCCCCCCTGTGCCAAGGGAAGGAGCCTGTCCAACAGTGGCAGGGTGGGGGGAGAGGACGAGGAAAGACAAGAAGGTCTCTGGCTGGAGTCGAGGAAGCAGAGGCCAGTGGTGTAAGGTGGATGGGAACACAGAGGCCGGACCTCAGACACCCCCGAAGATATTTCATTTTTTTACAAGAAAGGAATGAACAAAAGCGTTTTAACCCGTGTATGTGTGTGTGAGAGATTGGGACAGACAGACAGATGTGATGAGGGCTGAGTCGGGAGATGGCCCTGGCTGAGGCGCCAGAGGCCAGAGGGAGCAGGACAGAGAAAATCTGCAGAGGCCATGCAGCCCTGTGGAGAGAGATGATGGCTTGGGCTCACTCGAATTTGAGAGGATTTTTAATGCTGCACTGTTAACTCACATACCTTCCCTGTTATCCCTGCCATGCAGGTAAGATGCACGGCCTCTCCCAGAGCGTGCATAGCCCGAGCCAGCGTTTATCACAGCGACACACCGCCTGGCCACGGGCACACTCTCGCCCAGCCCATCGCCCAGCTGCTCATTTGCGGTTGGCACCTTCCTCACTGCTTTCCTCTCCCCAGCCTAGGTGAACAGGGAGGCCCAGACCACATCTTTTCTGGGCCCAGGTGGTAATCCCTGGTGTCCTCCGTGGGGCGGGATTTCCTAAGAGCCAGTCCCCTTTCTGGATCCTGTGGGGACCTGAGAAGGAAGTAGAAGGAGACCAGCCATGGTGGATGGAGCCTCAATCCCAGCCGTTTGTTCTCCCTGCCCCTTCCCTCCCGCTACGAGGCACAATCCGCAAACTCACCATCTGCACGGCCACCACCTTTGGTTCATAATATTCAGCCTCATTTCAGACCTTAGGTAGGAACTCGATACAGAAACCAGTTAAAAGGGAGGAGCTGCTCTGGTTTAAAGAGAAGGGCCTGGAATCCCACCTTCCTGGCGCCCCACCCATCCTCACAGCCCTCGTCAGCACACTGGTCCCGAGAGAGGAGTGCCTCTCACTCCTGCCTGCCTCTCGCCTCTCAGCAGCCCCCGGACAGAAGCCTGGCTCTGACCCCAGCCAGGAGTGGAGGCTTGGCTGAATCTCTTTACATCTCTAAGTCTCACTCCCTGTATCTGGAAAATGGGTTTAGGAACACCCCCTTCCCGGGGAGGTAGGGGGAGGGGAGGTAAATTTGCCTGAGGTGGTGATTCAGTAAGAGCTGGTGGCTATTATTGTTTCATAGCCTCCCCGTCACGCCTCCCCCCTTCCCTCTGCCTAGCTCGCACTTTCCTAGGAGCCCCCTCCCCTCCTGCACACACAGCACACACTCTTCACACCCACTCCCTGGCCGCCCCCTGGACTCCCTGGGGGTGGACGGGAGGGTGCTGGGGCGCTGCTCTGGCCTCCTTCCTGCACATCCCACCTGCCAAGGAGCTGCCACCCGCCTTCCGCTCTATAAATAATAAACCAGGAATGCGAGAAGAAAGTAAGTCAGAGCCGCAGAGTAAATGCCAAGAACTGAAAGCTCAGTGCTGCCCCAGCTCCTAAGCCCTGGCCTCCAGAGACAGACTCAGCCCCTCCATTCTGGAAGCGAAGCACCCCCTTCTTTCGAGCTGCCCTGATGAAGTCCTCAGGCCCCATGGGGCCACTAAAATTCTTCCACTTGTTATTTAACTCAGAGAGAATTCTAATGTGGTATCTCCTCCCCGCTGGGCACAAGAAGGAGCCTTGAAGGGGGAGGACGAGGAGGAGGAAAGAGATTGCTTAATTGGCCCTTGGAGTCCTCAGCCCCTTCCTCCTGAGATTTTCCTAAGCTAGGAGATGGTCTCCCTGGTGATGAGCTGGAGCCAGCAAGACAGGCACCAGCGTCCAGTCGAGGGGCCAGCGTGGCCTAGCCCCGAGCTGGAGACCCCAGAGTGAGGGGGTTGTGAGTGGTCTGGAGCAGGCTGCCCGGTTTGGAACACGTATGCCAGCTGTGTGACCTTGGGCAAGTTAGCACACCCCTCTGTGCCTCAACTTCCTCATTTACGGCCCAAAGGTAATAAAGCTGCCTTACTGGTAAGGATTCATCAAAGGATTCCGCTTAGCATGTGCTTGTGGGGGTTATATGATAATAGTAATCTGAACTCTGCTTCTCATCTGCAAATCTTTCTGGACTTTTAAGGACAGGTGGAACGGTCCCAGAAAACCATTTCCTTAGCTCGACATTGAGAAATGTGTCCATTCTGTGGCTAGGCACACTGAGGTTCCAGAAGGGTGTGTTTAGACTGCAGCTTGCTCTCTGGTGAGTGTACAGCTGCAGCAAAAGCCATCGTAGCTGGGAGCAGAGAGCTTGGGCCCGAGACCTCACCCCCTTCCCTCTGCAGAGCCCCAGGCCTTGAGCTAACAATGCTCTTTCTGATAATTTCACTGTTTTTTCTAATGGGATGATCCCTGCTCTTCTGCTGGGACATAACATGGCCGATGAGATTTCTGTGTACGGCATACTCGCTCTAGAGATCTTAATAAAGCCCCTCCCCTTCAGTAAAAAAAAAAGAAAGCAAAAGTGCTGGGAAGGTAAAGCAAACGACATCACAGACCTCCATGGAGGTGCGGTGCTCATAAAAGCATTTTACAAGCATGCAAATAAACTCCTAATGGTGCATTAATCAGGGTGCTGCCTGCTATAAGCCAGTGCCAATAAAACAGGTAACAGGCTTGGAGCTATTTGCCACCACTGCGACTCCACCTTTTCTCTCCCACTCAGGAAAGCAAGCATTCATTATTCAAGCAAGTGACACTACCAAAAATGACAAGCCAGGCACATTATTGGCTCACACCTGTAAACCCAGTACATTGGGAGGCCGAGGCAGGAGGATTGTTTGATGCCACAAGTTCAAGACCAGCCTGGGCAACATAGCGTGACCCTGTCTCTCCAAAAAGTTAAAAGAAAAAAAAAGTGATAAATATGTGAGGTGATAGATATGTGAATTAGCTTGATATAATCATTCTATAATGTATATATATATATATATATCGAAACATTCACAGTGTATGCCATAAATATATATGTATAATTATTGTCCATAGTAAATGTTATTTACTTATCAAAATAAAAATTTAAATTTAAATATGAAGGAAAAGAGCATTCAAGTGAGTGAGGGAAGCCCCATTAAGGGGCTAATTCCAAACCCTCCAACTAGAAACTGAACAAGGAGCCCCTTGCAAACATCAGCTTATGTTTGCAGTAAACATAATAGTGGCATCCAACCTACAAGTGACTGTGACCCCAGCATGTCCTAGGAGCTGCTCCCCTTGGCATCTTCCAACAGTGGGAGGACCCCGAAGGTCATCCAAGCCAACCTCCGCACGAGGAAGGAGCCCTCTCTCAGCACACCCGGAAGATGAGCAGGCTCTTCCCAGGCTCGCAGTGCTCACCATCTCCACAGCAGCTGGCTTAGTTCTGGGCTTGCTGTGCTCACCCACCTCCTTATAAACGCCGTGGGTCAGCCCAGCCGTGCAGCTTCTCGGCTTCAAACTCCCACCGCTTTGTCTCCGCTGGGCTACACAGTCTCAAGTCCCTTGCACTCACCTTTATCTGATGTGATTTTCCAACTTTGTACCACCCTGGTTAGATGCAGAAAATGACCCTAACCCGGCATTTCCAAAAGTGCTGCCTCCTCATTTCTATGAGATGTCATTGGCACTTCCCCCAAACCTGACCTGGTTTCTAAGGTCAGATAAGATTGGGAGAAAATGAGGTTAACGAAATTTAGCAGATGTATTTGCTTATTGATACTGTGTGTTTCTCTCTGAAGGGGGGTGGGTATCGCACAGCATTTCCCAAACGTATTCGATAAGGTTTTCTCATCTGTAGAATGGGGACAGTAACAGCAGCTACCTCCCAGTGTGCCATCAGGAACAAATGGAGCCGAGCAGAGGGCTGTAAGTGCAGTGTTAAGTGAAGCTGAACTGTGGCTTGCGCCTTGGGGGCTGCGATGGAAACGGAAAGGCAGGCGCCTAACAGAAGTGTGGAGGAAAGTGATGTTGTCAGCAAGTGTCTGCAGGTCTTTTTTGCTGCTAGGGAAGGCTAGGAGAGTCTGAGGAGGCAGGTGGGGATAGAAGGGAAGGAGACCCTGCCCCATCCACGTGGTCCCATAATGCTGCGGTCCCCAACCCCCTGGCCTTGGACCAGTATGAGGGCCGTGCCCTGTTAGGAACTGGGCCACATAGCCGGAGGTGAGCTGCAGGTGTGGAAGCTTCATCTGTATTTACAGCCACTCGCTCCCCATCACTCGCATCATCTCATAAGCTCCGCCTCCTGTCACAGCAGCAGCAGCATTAGATTCCCATCGGAGCAGGAACCCTACTTCAAACCACACATGCAAGGGATCTAGGTTGCACGTTCCTTATGAGAATCTAATGCCTGATGATCTGAGGTGGTGATGCTAGTGCTGGGGAGCAGCTGCAAATACAGATTATAATTAGCAGGAAGATTTGACTGCACAATAAATGTAATGTGCTTTGGCCGGGCGCAGTGGCTCACACCTGTAATCCTAGCACTCTGGGGAGGTCGAGGCGGGCAGATGGCTCAAGGTCAGGAGTTCAAAACCAGCCTGAGCAAGAGTGAGACCCCCGTCTCTACTAAAAATAGAAAGAAATTAATTGGCCAACTAAAAATAGATAGAAAAAATTAGCCGGACATGATGGTGCATGCTACTCAGGAGGCTGAGGGAGAAGAATCACTTGAGCCCAGGAGTTTGAGGTTGCTGTGAGCTAGGCTGACACCATGGCACTCTAGCCCGGGCAACAGAGTGAGACTGTCTCAAAAAAAATAAAATAAAAAATGTAACGTGCTTGAATCATCCCCAAACCACCTCCCCCCCCGCCCCCCATCCCGTGGAAAAACTGTCTTGCATGAAACTGGTCCCTGGTGCCAAAAAGCCTGGGGACCACTGACATAATGGCTTAAAGCTGCAGGGAAGCAGCAGTACAGGTAAATAGCCACTGGGTGGCAGCACGATCCAAGGAATAAGATATAGGGCTGTTCCCACCCAACCCCCAACCCAGTTTCATTTACCTGCCAGGTAAAGGCTCAGCCACTGCCCCCCCTTCCTCCTGTGTCCTTCTCAGCTGACATTTGGACAGATGGAGATTCTGCCAAGCACCCAGCTCCCAAAGGCAGGTTGTGCCTGGCAGATTGATGTGTTTACTGAACATCTACTGTGTGTTGGGCACTTAGGATACAGCCGTGAACAAAGCTGAGATGCATAGGACCAGAAGCCTAGGATTCACGGCCCTTCTCTCTCTCTCTGATGCCTGCCAGAAAGGTGGCCTCCAGCTGGCAGGGAATGACTTTAACCTGTGCTTCCTCAACAGGGCCATATGGCCCTCAAGGGGGTGAAAATTGGTTCTCACTCTTTTTATGCATAAAGCACAAATATGCATACATTACATAAACAGATACCTGTGATATTAAAGTTTCATGAAAGGGAGAACAACTTGGGGGGGAGTCTAAAAAGGGACAAGGTGGGGTGGCAATGGGGGAAAGGTGGAAAAACACTCTAAGCCAACCAAGGGCTCAGCGTAGGTCCCAGGCCTCCAGCAAGGGCCGTCCCCCCTGCAGGCACACCCTGCCAGGCACGTCCTAGTGTTGGCAGGAAGGACACCTCTCCCAGCCTTTGCCTGCTGGATCTAATGGACTCTTCTCTCTTTCTCTTCATCTCTGCCCTCCTGCCCCAGGTGGGTTTTCTTGCATGAGAAGGCGTACCAGGTGCGGGATTCCGCCATTGAGTCCTCGGTGGTAACCAAGGTGAAGGGCTTCGGACTCTATGCCAACAGGGTCATGGATGTGTCTGATTATGTGACCCCACCCCAGGTATGGTCCCCTGCCCCAGGGAGACACGTGGGTGCCCAGGCGCTGGGCGGGTTGGAGGGGAGGCAGCAGGGCAAGGAGAGTGCAGACAGGATTCCCAAACCAGAATCCCTGGGCTCAGTGGCCCAGAGAACCTGTCCCAGCAGCGGGGAGACAAGGGGGGACTTGGGCCCACGATCCTAGGCATCAGGAAAGCTGGGAGCCTCTCCAGGCTCTGCCACAACATTCCTGCGGTCAAGGACAACACACAAAGGGGCAAGAGGGACCATGCCGTGGTTGGAAAGAGCCCAGTGTGGATCCCAGCTCTGCCTTTGGTGGCTCCGTGGCCCTGGCCAAATACTGAACCCAAGCCTCGGTTTCCTCATTTGTAGAGTGGAGATAATAATAGTTCCTGCCTCACGGGTTGGGACTGTTGCATTTTTTTTCCTCCCTTCTTCTCCTTCCAAGGGCACTTCTGTCTTTGTCATCATCACCAAGATGATCGTTACTGAAAACCAGATGCAAGGATTCTGCCCAGAGGTGAGGGGAGGGAGGAAGGTTAGGGGAAGCAGGGGCAGGAGGGGAACCTTGGTGTGCATGAGGACGAGGGGGTGGTCTGGGAGCTGTGCCCTGGGACCTCCAGCCTCCCGAGGATGCCTGTTGTGGGAGCCAGGCCAGGCCAGGGCCCTTCACCGACCTGCGCCCCTGTGTGCCCACAGAGTGAGGACAAGTACCGCTGCGTGTCAGACAGCCAGTGCGGGCCAGAGCGCTTCCCGGGCGGGGGTGAGTGCGGCCCCTTCCCCACTCCTCACACCCTCAAATCGTTAGTGGGACCTGGGGGCAACCGTGGAGGAAATCCCCCCCTAAGAGAGCAAGTGGGAATCAGCCTGATCCAGATAATTCTGCAGGATTCATAGATGCTCACTGGGTGCCACACCCAGCGGGGGGTATGAAGGTGGCCTGGTCCCCACCCCCAGAGGAGTTCCCAGTCCAGGGATGATGGTGACAGACAGGGGCACTGTGAAGTGGCACGTGCTGTCCAGGAGATATTAATACAAAGGACTGTGGGGCCAAAGGAGGGAGAAAGATTGGTTCTGGGTGGGTGGCACCAAATGGCTTGAAGTGACATCTGGGATGGGCCCTGAAGATGAGTAGGATCTGGCAGGATAGAGGGGGCTTCAGAAAGGGCATTCCAGGCAGAAGGAGCAGCTGTAGCACAGGCTCAGAGGCAAGGAAGGAACAGCAAGGACGCCAGGGTCCTGGTGGCTGGGGCATGAGAACGGAGGGCAATCACCTCCCTTCAGCCAGGGCCAGGGCTTGGAAGGAGAGGGAGAAAGGTTGGCTCCCCTTTCCCTGCCTGTCCTTTTCCTCCACCTGCCACAGTCCCTGGAAGGGGGGTTGGGGGGGGCCCTGATGAGGGGTGGGGAGGATGAAGGGAGTGGCAAAGGGCAGGTACCCCCCCGCAGCTGTGGCTCCCCCTTTCAGGAATCCTTACTGGCCGCTGCGTGAACTACAGCTCTGCGCTCAGGACCTGTGAGATCCAGGGCTGGTGCCCCGCCGAGGTGGACACGGTGGAAATGTAAGGCCCTGAGCCAGGTGGGAGGAGGGAGGACCCCACCTGCTCCCCTTGGCCCGAGTGGGAGCCGTGTGTCTCCACGTCTCTGCACATCTCTGAGCTTGAGGAGGGCCTGTGGCTCCCCCAGGACTGTCCCTCGCTGGGGTGGCAAAGTGGCCTCAGAGCACCACCTTCCGCAGCCCATCTTGTCTGCCCCTCCCCTCCCTCTGGCCCCCTGGGGTGCCCTCTCAGAGGGCCCTTTATCTTCAGGGGGTCTCCCTTTAGGAGGAGTCTACCAGGAAAGGTGGCCCCTGGGGCAAAAGCCTCCTGTTTCCCCCCTTCCTCCGGAGGAGCTAAAGGCCTCCTGTCACCCACAGGCCCATCATGATGGAAGCCGAGAACTTCACTATTTTCATCAAGAACAGCATCCGTTTCCCCCTCTTCAACTTTGAGAAGTGAGTCCTCACTTCCTTCCTAAAGCAGAGATGCAGCACCGGTCCCTCCACCCGTCCTACCCCCTCCTCAGGAGACTGCAAATGTGCCACCCACCCACCGCCCTGGGGCTCCTAGTCCCATTGGGGGCCTGGACCACTGAGTAGCAGGTGGACTTTGGGGCCAGGTTCTCTGCCACCACCACCACCACCACCACCACCACCACCCACCCACCCCACCCCCGCCTGGGGGCTCAGAACACAACTGGGACTTTTCCTTGGGGCAGGGGAGGGTCCTGGGTCACAGATGCCTTCAAAGGTCCAGCAGAGGGGCTCGTCCTGTCCCATTTGTTCCCTACATGAAGCCCAGGTGTGAATGACCCTTAGGTCAGCCCCTGCATCACTCATTTATTCCCCAGCTACTCGGCAGACATCGATCTGCCCCGTGCAGGGCACAGTGCCAGGCCCTGTTAGAAGTGCGTGGAGTACTCAGCCAGTGGCAGGGGGAGATCAGTGAGGACACACATACCCCTGATACAGGACAGGAAAAATGCAGGGAAATAGGGCAGGGAGACAGCGCCGCCCACTCGCGTAACCGTGGCCTTGCCTCTCTCCTGTCTTCCTCCCCGTCTAGGGGGAACCTCCTTCCCAACCTCACGGCCAGGGACATGAAGACGTGCCGCTTCCACCCCGACAAGGCCCCCTTCTGCCCCATCTTGCGGGTGGGGGACGTGGTCAAATTTGCGGGGCAGGATTTTGCCAAACTGGCCCGCACGGTGAGGACCTAGCGACCCTGACCGGGATGCTCAGCCTCCCCCAGACTCGGCCCCCCACCCCACCCCACCCACACCCCACCCCACCCACACCCCACCCCACCCACACCCCAAGCTCGGGGCGCCTCGGGGCCTGGCGAGGAGCTGCCGCGAGACAGCGTCACCTGGTGGAAGCACGCGGGGCTGCAGCTGGCTCTGAGCCCGCGTCCCTTGTGTCCACCCCTGCGCCGAGCGGTCTTGCCTCCCCTCACCCACTTCCCCCAAGCCTCAGTTTCCCATTCCCGTCTTCACACTTCACCTCAGGGAGAGGCCTTAGATCTCTGGAAAGGGCCACACAGTGGGCAAGGGTAGCTTGGGAATGCAGATTCTAAAGTAGGATCCCGAGGCTCAGGGGTTCTCGCCCTAGCTGCGACACTTGGTCACTGTTTGTTCTCCCCGCCTCTTTCCACCTAGGGGATGGAAAGAAATCGGTTCTCATAAATCCCCGACTCCTACCCTGGCCGCGTGCAGGGGGTCAGAGGGCTGGGGGAGAGCTCATATCTGGCCCCTTTCTTCAGGGCGGAGTTGTGGGCATTAAGATCGGCTGGGTGTGCGACCTGGACAAGGCCTGGGACCAGTGCATCCCCCGATACTCCTTCACGCGGCTCGACAGCGTCTCTGAGAAGAGCAGCATCTCCCCAGGCTACAACTTCAGGTAATCCCCTGGGCTCCTGGGGCCTCAGGTGAGGAGAAGGCAAGGGCTGTCGTTCTAAAGAACTTCATCTCCAGCAGCAATGTGTGTTGGGAAGAGAAGGTCCCACATCCCCACCGTTCAATCCCTCGATCAGGTTTTGACTCAAAATCTGGAAGAAGTGGCTCATGCCTGCAATCCTAGCACTCTGGGAGGCCGAGGCGGGCAGATTGCTCGAGGTCAGGAGTTCGAAACCAGCCTGAGCAAGAGCGAGACCCGTCTCTACTATAAATAGAAAGAAATTAATTGGCCAACTAACATACATAGAAAAAATTAGCCGGGCATGGTGGCACATGCCTGTAGTCCCAGCTACTTGGGAGGCTGAGGCAGGAGGATTGCTTGAGCCCAGGAGATTGAGGTTGCTGTGAGCTAGGCTGACGCCACGGCACCACTCTAGCCTGGGCAACAAAGTGAGACCCTGTCTCAAAAAAGAAAGAAAGAAATTAGCTGGACAACTAAAATTATATAAAAAACTTAGCCCGGCATGGTGGCGCATGCCTGTAGTCTCAGCTACTCGGGAGGCTGAGGCAGAAGGATTGCTTGACCCCAGGAGTTTGAGGTTGCTGTGAGCTAGGGTGACGCTATAGCGCTCTAGCCCAGGCAACAAACTGAGACTCTGTCTCAAAAAAAAAAAAAAAAAAAATCTGGAAGAACTCTCTAACAGCCATGAGGTGATGGGCGCCTGTCCCTGGAGGGTTCATGCCCAGGGTTCCTGCGCCAGGTCAGTAGTTAGACCAGATGGCCAAGGTCTCTCGATGTGCTAGGGTCTGTGATTCTTCTAAGCTCAGGCCCTAAAACTGTAATGTGCCTGAGGAACTCCCAGACAGCCCCTTTCCTGTCCAATGCCTGGATTTTCTAAGGTTTCTTGTTCCACCAAAAAAGGGTGATTACTGGTTATTCTTTCACTAAATGGCAATTTTGTGTTTCTGTCCATAACCAGGAAGTTTCATGGGTCATAGATAACAATTATAACTGTTATTAGTTCTTCTTCAATGCCTTTCCAAACAAGAACTCAAACCGGTCTTTATAATATCCCAGTGGCTTTGAGACTTAAGGGATCCTTTGGGGTTTTCTTCCATTTTGAAGAAAGGGAAAGAGAGGAAGCAGGGAACAAACTATTTAGAAGCAGCTGAAAGCCATTGAGCAAGCCTTGGCCTCCTCCCGTCCTAATTTCCCCACCTATGAAATGGCAATAGTACGGCTGTGATCTGGAGGATCCTGCTAGCTAATTCATGAAAACTTCAGCTCTCTGTTTTGTGTTTCTCTTAATTTTTTTTCTCTGTCATTCATGTATTGACTCATCCATTAAACACTTATGGATTGTCTACTATTGCTAGGGACTGTATTTGGTTATCTTAGATCAGCAATTCTCAAAGTGTGGGCCACAAGATCAACACCATTTTTTTTAAAGTTATATTTTATTTTTAATTGACAAATAATAATTGTATATACTTATAGGGTGCAATGTGATGTTTCAATACATGTATACATTGTGGATTTCTCTTAATATTTGAAGATCCTGAAGTTGCTGGCAGGGACCTGATTAAGTTCAGGGTGTGTGTTATACACTAAACAGGCTCAATAGACTAAATGGGCAGTGATCAGGGAAAAAAAATATGTGTAAGAATATACACGTATTTTCAGTTATATATTCAAAGAATTGTTACTCAAATGTCCTTTGTTGTAGTGGTATTCTCTAATATAATGGCATACATAGGCCCAAAACAATCATTTTACCCTTTTTTACCCTAATTTGTAGCTTTAAGAAAAAATCACCCACCCCATTAAGCTTTGTACTTAATAGTTTAAAAAATATGTATATTCTCTGGAAAGAAGAATTTTTATAAATTGAAAGTGCTTTCATAATCAACTCCAAACTTTAAAAAAATCATAGGAAACAACACATATTTTAAAGTAGGTTAAAAATACTGTTTGGCTCCCTGGCAGAAATTGGCATATTTATTCAGTCAGTGCATCACACTGAGATCAATACAAAGGATATTTGTATGGTGGCTTAAAATAGTAACATATTAATAAAATTCTCCTGATCTAAAATGCAAGTTTTCATCTTCATAACTTCCCTCTGGCCATTGGGAATTCTTCAATCCTCCAAATAACTCATTTGGCAGGAACACTTGTGAAAAATGTAACTATTATGAAGACCCCAAACTATTGGCGTCATACAGTTTTAGAACAGCATCTAGAAGAATTGGTTTGGAGTTCTCTATCTCCAGCGGATTGTGCTACAGCTGCCTTCCCTCCCTCCCCACCTGAGCACAGCAGGATTTATGTGCCTGTGATAGACCTAGTCCTGAATCTGCTTGGGGACAGGGGACAGAGGGTCTCTAAGGACCCTGCCAGCATAATTCCCAGAGGTCTAAGGGAAGCCATGTGAGAGGTATGGGCCCCTCTTGGGACCACCCCCCCAACTGATCCCCTCCCCGAAGCCCTCCAGGCCAGAGTACAAAGGGACAAAGCTGCTTAATTGGACCCTTGTGATTTAAGAGCTGCCAGAGGGCCCAAAAAAGAGCCCTGATGTGGGGAAATATCTGATATCTGTGGCAAGCAGAGGGCTCTGCCCGAGCCCCCTCAAACCCCTCCACCTGGATGCCTCACCCCTACCCCCACCCTCATGCTGCCATCAAGCCACTGGCACTGCACTGACACCCCAGGCCTAGCTGAGAGCCCACGTGTGGAAGGCTGCAAGGCCACCTTCTGAGTCCTCCAATAAGAGACAAAAGGTTACAAAGCCAGGTTCAGTGCAAGACACAGTATGGTTTCCATGATACGGTTAAATGTATGCTGTTCTTTAGAATCTTGCAAAACCACTTATCAGTAGGAATGATGCTGACGTGCAAAGAGTTTTGTGCACTTTGGTTCATTGTTCCGCACCCACCCTACGTAATAGGTGCTCCAATGCTCCCACTTTACAGATGAGAAAATGGAGGCTCACAGAGTTGAATAAGGTTCTCAAAGTCACAGAGAGAGTAAGTGTGGGAGCCTGGATGCAAAACATATTTTCCTGGATGATCTCCACCCAGCCAGGAAGGCTAGGGACATTTGCACTTGTAAATCTTCAGAAAAACATGCCTGTGTGGTTGATACTCTCATCTCTGCTTAAAAACAAAGAATCTGAGTTCCAGGGAGGCTAAAAGACTAGCAGATGCTGGAGGCATAATTCATAGCCCAGCCTTTTGTCTCCCAAACAAATTCATTTGCCTCTCCCTCCAACAGAGGCCAGATTTTTCAACGTGTTCGCTCTGGAGGGAAAGGAATTATTCAGCCAAGATTTGGCCTTGTTTTAATCTGCAAACTCAGACATCCAGAGGCAGCTAGAGACTCACATTTCCATCTCTAATTACTTCTGCAGCTCCTTTGCAAATGCCACCCCCCTCCCCTTCTTTGCACAGCTCTTTGCCTGCAGAATCTGAGATTTCTAGAATTTATAGCTGTTGAAGAGCCCTTGGAAACACCTAGACTGAGGTGGTCATTTTACAGATGAGGAAGCAGAAGCTCCAAAGGGGAAGGACTTGTCCTAGGTCACGGGTGCATCTTAGAGTAGCCTTAGAGGTCACTGGATCCCAATTCCTACATCATGTCTCTGTGGCATAGCCCAAGACAAGGTGGCCTGTCCATCATCAGATGGCTCCAGTCATTGGAAAGGTGGCCTCACATTGAGCCAACCTGCGTCTCCCTTCAACTCCTACCCGGTGGACTTGGTGCTGTGCATCTACGTTAATCTTTGTGTGACCCCCCTAAAGGTTTCTGCTCCTCTCCTACTTGAAGTTGAGGAGAGAGATTTTATTTTTACTCCTCAGTCTATTCTGCATGGCTAAAAGATTCCATGGGCTGTTTTAGTACTTATGTGAAGCCTCTTTCCAAGTACAATGAAAGTGCAGTTGGTGTCATCGGGATTTGCAGTGGACAAAGTGTAGCATTTCTAAAAACAAGACCTGGCAAGAGTCACCAATTCAATGGTGCGCAGGTAAAAGACACCGCCAGCAGCACCCGGAATCTCAGACAAGGGGCTCTGCGCCATGGGCCAGGTTTCTGCAGCCCAGGTGGACCCAGGTGGAGGATTTTAACCAGAGCACTGCATTCTCCAGGCAGGCAGCGTTGTGAGTGCGTGTGTGCACGTGTGACTTAGAGAGTGGGTGTGTTTGTCGGTGGGTGAATGTGTGAGGCTGAGAATGAGTGTGTCAGTATGTGAGTGTGTGTGTGAGCGTACAGGCATTGACGGTGCAATGACAGATTAAAAATACTGAATCCATCAGGGTCGCAGCAGGAAACAGATGGCATATTCAAACTGGGTAATTTGAGGCAAGTTTACTAAAGGGACTGTTTCAAAGGTGTGAGCAGGGTGTACGGAAACCACAGAGGAGAGTGCCCTGCCTGGAACAGTAACAGGACGTTGGTCTGAAGGGGCGAGGGGAGGAAGCCATCACTGGAATCTGGAGACAGAGCTGTGAGCAGAGGACAGCCTGGAGGGGTGGCTGCGACCCAGGCAAGCCCCACCAGAAGCCAGAGCTGAGGCAAAGCAGCCCACTGAGGCAGCCCAGGGTGGATGAGGAAGGGAGGAGTGTGGATCCAAGTAGCAACAGTGGAGTTGTCCAGGACAAGTGCCAACAACTTTCATTTGTGAAATCATGGCCCTTCATTAATTTCAGAGGTCTCTAACCCCTTTATTCCCCTGAAGAAATCAGGGACCATTGCCCAAGAAAAATGTATGTATTTACAGACATGAGCAATTTCGCAGGCAATTTCTTTTTTTTTAAAGGATATTTTGTATTTCTACGATTAAGATATAAATGCATTCTCAGAGTGATGAATCCAAGCCATACTGATGTATACAGAATAATGACATGGGAACTCTCCTTCAATCCTCCAGGCCTGCTCCCCTTGCAGGAAGGTAACATCTGGGACAGTTTAGTGAGTTTCCTTCCAGTCCTTTTTCTATGTGTTTA